CTAACGCATGATTAGTTAGAAATGACGTTTCACATGGTTCATCTGATTGGAGTAAAGCGAGTCAAACCCTCCCTTTTTCAAACTTTATTTTTATTTAATATTTTTTAAGTTTGAATATATGTATTTGTTGTGTTGAACTATCTTTATTTTCTTACATACATAAGTAAATTTCAACAACCTCGAATTCGTGACATTTTTTAAAATATACAACTTTAATTACTGTACATTTTCTTATTAAAGTGGTATAACGTATGTTTTTATTTTATTTTACAAGACATCTCAAATGAATATATTAAGAGATTAATAAATTTTAATGTAATTGATTTTCTTAATTTGTGCCTTGTTATTTTCTTCGTATAAATGATGACGAACCACTAGAAAAGAATAATAAAATTATACTATATGATATAATTATTCTTTTACATTTTATGACTATTTTATTTAAATTACAAAATTATTTTTTATTTTTAAAGTAGTCAAATCAGATAGTAAATGTTAATGAATGTCAAAAGTTGATGTGACATGGTTATTGTTGGACTACGGTTGTTTGGGTTTTATATGGCCTAAATCAATTTCAGGTTTTAAAAATTTAGCACTCATGACATTTCTCATTCTCATATGAAACAATGTCATAATTTTAGATAAAAAATCATGATAAACTCAAATATTTGTTGGTTACAAAAATGAAACGATTCAACGAGACTATTGATATATTTAATTTGAAATATGCATTCAATATTTTAGAAAAAATTAGATTGATAAATTCAAAATCTATTGACATATACATAGATTTTAATATCAAACTCTTATAAAATCAGAATAGCCCATGTCTAAGTAATATAAAAGGTTGGTTAAAAAATTCAATTATCTTACTTTTATTCGTTTTCACATTTTTTTTTATCATTAGTATGACAAACCAAATTCTCAATTTTTCATGTGAAAAATCATTAGGATGCAGTCATTCGTATGTTAAAGTACATTAAAAGATCTTTTGGAAAAAGGTTGTGATATAATTCCAATAACTATACAATAATTGTTTGTTAGTTAGATGCTGATTGGACAATATCTCCTCTTAATATAATGTTTACTTTTGAATATTGTGTCTCCATTAGTAGTAACTTGATTTCTTGGAAAAACAATAAATAAAGTGTTGTGACAAGATTTGGTGCAGAAACATAATATAGAGTTATGGTCTCATTCATTTGTGAACTTGTTTGGCTTAAGCAACTTCTTAGAGAGTTACATTGGAGATATCACTCAAATGACACTTATATGTGACAAATTAAGTTCCTCTTAATATTTGTTCTAATCTCGTGTATCATGAGAGAACAAAACACATCGAGATTGATTGACATTCTATTCGAGAAAAGATTGTATTTAGAGATATAACATTGAGTTTGTTATCTTTAGTGATTAGTTAACCGATATTTTGATTAAGCCTATACGGGACCAAAAATTGATTATATTTGTAACAAGCTTTGTATATACAATTTGTATAAACCAACTTAAGGGGGTGTTAGATATATTAGATTATTAGATATCTTATGTTTATCTTTTATCTTTTGTTACTTTGTTAGTATTCTTTAGTTTGTATTTTAGGCTTATCCCATATTTTTTTCATTATAAATAAAATATCTTATGTGTATATTTTACACATAAGGAGATTAATCACATACATAAATAAATAAAGATGATAACAATACATTAAATGAAAATAAATAAAAAAAATGTGGATAATGTGACTTATTTATGACCATGTAACAAGTTTGTGTGTGTGGTGACTTGGTGAAATGTGGTAAAGGGAAACCGTGTAATTATACCAGATGAGAACTTTGCTGGAGCTCTTGAGGAAAGTGATGAGAAGTGACACATGTATACTTTTCCAATGAAGCTCTTGAAAAGAGTGGTGAGAATTGATACTTGTATATTTCGTCGAGGAAACTCTCAAGGAGAGTAATGGAAAGTGACATTTGTATACTTCGTCAGGGAAGCCCTTGGTGAGAGTGATGGAAAGGAGACCCTATTTGTCAGGCTTTAGACAAGTAGGAAATGTGCTTGCTCTAGTGGTGAGTAGTTGTGGGTAAGTTGTATGCGAGAGTTGTAACCCAGTTTCTTGATGTTGAAATCACTAGTGCCTGTATTGCTAATACAATATATCTTTCCTTTTAATTGTTGTGTTAGACAACATGTTTTTTTGTGTTTATACACGTGTTGTAAAATGTTATTGGTTTTAAACATTAAATGAGTTTATTTTGAAAAGTGATGTTTTTTCTTGGTGATATTAGCTCGCTCACCTATTTGTGGTTGTGGTTTCAACCCGCGATGATCATATTTTATACGGTACTAGATGATGATACAAGTGTTGAAGAATATACATAACACTAGATATCGAGAGATGTTTGAAACAATATTTTTGATTGTATGTTTTTTTTCATATAGTTTATGTTGGTAAAATAATATGTTTTTTTATTTATTGAAATTTTCAATAAAATAATGAAGTTTTATATTAAATTATGTAGTTTGTGTTAATTATTTAGTTTATGAAGAAAAAAATAAATCAGTGTAACACTTTTTGCATCAAGAAAGATGATTTTGTATCCTAAGGGATGTGAAGAGTGAACTTAATGTGTATGATGTACATAATTTCTTAGAGTATAAATGTATTGTTGTGCTTGTTTAACTACATTATTTTAATATTTCTCTTAAATGTTATTTGAAGAAGACAAAAAGAAAATATCATTATATTTTCACTAGTCAATACACTTTTTAGGACTTCTTTTTTTAGGGTGAATGTACAATCTTAAAATACTAAAATTATTATTATTTTGTTAGACCGTTGGCATAATTGTTTTCAGTTTCATTTTTTATCTAGATAATTCTACCTTTTATCAATTTATATCATCATATAGAAAAGATATATTTTCTACAATTTTTATTGGTGTTATTTTTTAATTAAACAAATTTTCAATCCATGAATAAAATTGGCACTTCTATAATTACCAAGTTATATTTACTTTTGTCTATGATGCTCAATTGTCATGCACTATGATTGTCTCATCAATGAAAATAATTACTTCTCATTAAATTAATGTTATTTCACCTAACTAAGACTAATAAGGTAGTGCATCACGTCCAAATAAATAAAAATTAATGTTTGTATTGCTTAATAAAAAAGTTTAATATGCCTTAATATTGAAGATTAACCTTTAAATAAGCTCATTCAACAAGACTTCACCTAATAATTTAATGGTGTTCTATCTTATTCTTTGTGCAATTAAGAACATACCATTATAATAATATCATTAGATAATAGTTACACTGCTAATATATTTTTAATTAAATTTTAAAAAGTAAAACGTATTATTTAAACATTTGGACACTAATATCTGTATATACAAAATTTAAATAATTGTCTTCCGTAAGATTGTTTTTAATGATTCGAGGAATCTATGTAGTCAACTATTAATTTTAATATCAATATTTTTGCTTGAATTTAATATTTTTTAAAAATATATCAAAAAAATTAAACAATGTTATATCACAGAATAAATTAATTAATATACTTTTGAAATATTTCATATATTCAATATTTACTGATCACAATTTTAATCATATAAAAAATATTTATTCAGCTTGAGGTAAAGATTAAAATTGTAATAAGTAAAGATAAAAAAAACTACTAAATTTAGAAGCTAACCAATAAGAAAGCATGAAAACATATTTTAAGAGTGCTAATTTTATGAAGACTGAATAATTATTTTATGCTAAGTTTAAAATATATTTTTAGAATGAAAATTAGATTGTTAAAAGAAATAAAGGATAATTTCCCTTTCCATCAAAATTTATACATAAGTATGTAATTAATTACATACTCAGAAAGAAATGCTCTGGACCTCACATTTATCCTTTGTATATAATAGAAGGACAAAACCATAATTTAAGTATTTATTTTTTCCTCATGGGTGAGAGAAATTATTTTACCCTTCCTTTGTTTTCCATGATCTCAAACCTTCCTAAATATATAGATAATAAACAACTACTTTCTGCAGCACCCATTCAACATGACACAATTTTAAATATCTAAAAATGAAATCTTGTTAATTATACACTATTTCTGAATGAAAAAAGAAGCCATTTTAATTATTTATTTTTATATTCTGAACTAAAAATAAAATCTTGTTAATTATTCACTATTTTCTGAATGAAAAATGTTAAGTCATTTTAATTATTTAATTTTATATTATGAACTAAAATCATACCTGTTAATGTGACTATTGTAATTTAATTTACACTTTACAGATTTAGTTAAAATCAAATTAGACTGAAATTGTGTAAACTTTATATTATTTTAATTTAAATACTAAAATCATCTCGATCTACATTATTTGAGTTTAAATGAAAATCAAAGTTATACTTAACCTACAACTTTTCCTCTTATCCAAAAATCACATAAAGTCAACATAATTTTAGATTCATATTCATAAAATTATTAAAATTTCCCTATTTTGGTACTTAAAAAAAATAATTTATAAGCATTTACTCAATTCAAATCTCTCAAAATTTGCTGCACCTTTGTGAGGAAAATCCAGCCACGTTGCACCACAGATGACTATAATTGAGAAAAAAGTTAGTAGGTAAGATTTAATGAAAGGGAAGGCAGAAGAAAATTTTGTGGGAACGTTGATGGGAGCCTCTTGTCTTGACAGAAATCCAACTTAGAGGAATATTGTCTGAGCCATCAATGAACGAATTTGAAGGTATATTGTTTACAGATATGCAAAATATTGCACCAATTATTGCTTACCTATATTTTTCTTTCGCTTTTACTTTCTCAGTGCTTTTCCTATCTCCCCGGGAGAGTATTAATGAGATGAAAATCCGCACCCAAAATTTCGACAAGCACTGTCATTTTCCCCTAACCACATTAATTAAAGTGTCATATTTTACTGAATTCGATGTAAAGTTTCTGTGCATTCATCTCGAACAGAAGATGAAGTAGGTAAGATACAGGGATACTAATATATTACCCACGTGATCACCATTATGTTCACACGTACATCACATACAGTACAACTCATTTATCTTCTTTTTCATAAATATACAACTATTTCATGGATATATTACTACTATTTAAGTTATTTTTTTATATCAAACACTATACACCAAAGTTTCCAATAAAAGAACACACAATAAACCAAATACCAAGGATATGGAAAACTCTCATAACGGGCCATTTGATGATCTGATCTGTAAACCACGAGTGCAAGAGCACTTCACGCAGACTTTGGAGCTCCACCCGTTTCTATCAAGCATTTATTAGAAAGATTGATTATTGAATCTGCAATCACTCTAGCACTAGATTTCATGTAGCCACCTGTAAATGGAGTGACAAATATAGAAAATTTGATAAAACAAACAATACGGAAAGAAAATAGTTGAAGTTTCTAAAAAGGATTTGTGACATGGATGGGTCGAGAATATTGCTATTTTCTATAATTAGTTATAAAGAACCCACCTCCATTAAGCAAATTGTATCAATTCGAAACTGGAGAAAATTTTCGTGTGGTTGTTTCACATCTCATCTCAACAAAAAAAAAAAACATATAATTTATACTCTTTTACTCTTGGAAAACACGATTTGACTGACTGACTGACGCTTTTAACTGCATCCCAATGGTTTTCCAAGCAAACTAATGTTAAATAAAATAATGGGGAAGGTTAAACAAAAACATCCAAAAATGATAATGTCTAATAATTTATTAAGTGCAAGTTCTGATTAGTCATATTTTCATGTCATCAAATATTGATAATTGATCACATTTAGGCGAACAATGTTCTAAGAATCTTTTGATATAGATGTTTATAAGCGTGACGACAACAAGGCTTTTCAGTCTTTCTATATGAAAGTTAGAACCTCAGTCTGAAATAAATCGCTAACAAATAGTATTTTAAAAAAGATTGCATAGATGGGCATGTGGTCATACTTAAGAATATAAACACTTAGAAGTTAGACAAAACACGGGCTAATTTCAGGTTTCCCTCATATTACTTTTTTTAACATAAGAAGATGCTTGCAAAAAGTAAAGAAAAATACACAAGCTAGAAACTAAAAGAAGTTTATAATATTAGACTAGGTCCTTGTTAGGTAAGTTTCCTTTGCACAAAAAAGGCCAAAGCAACCACCATATGATAGGGAGGGAAACAATAGCAAACCTGAAGTGAGCATGACGATGGGAATGTTCTTCTCACGAGCAAACCGGAAAACTTTTTCATCTCTAAGGGCAATTCCTTCGGGGCTGATCTGTGTATATAAAATAGCACAAGCACTGCGTATGCTGAGTGGTAAAGGAGTTAACTAACACACTAACTCAGAATAATGACCGTTATTTTCATATACGTATAAGAGGAAATGACTAGGCAACTAAAGTTAATATAAACGTACACTCCCTTTGCACTAAAATATAAGCAAAAAAAGTCTCACGTTTGGTGGACCTAAATATAGCAAAATTTCAACTAGCACAACCCAATTCAATTTACTATTTCAAAAATACTCTTATCTTTATACCTAAGTATCACCCCTAATAAATAAAATTGAGGTAGTTTAGTAAAAGTAACTCTTTAATTACTATTCTTAATCAGTGTAAAAATAGCTAAATCTGTTTATATTTGAGTTCAGACGTGAAATTTTACGGCAATAGAGCAAATTCAAGAATGACATTACCTCCAACCTTCCTAACGGATCTCCTTGTAGGATGTCGGTTCCAGCATTATAAATTACCAACTCAGGGTTAAACCTACGCCCAGCAACCTTGAATCAAATTGACATGAAAATCAAAAGTTAGTATAACAGCTTGAATGTTAGTATGCCTTCTTCACCAGGTAAACAATTCTGTGGCGTGTTATGGGTATGATTGGAAGCTAAGAGTAAAGGGGAAAGGCTGCAAGGAAACTAAATGGTAAGGGAAGGGTTGAGATTAGGAGGTAAAGATACAGTTCTCTTTCCCTTATTTTTATTTTTAAAATAAAGGGATCGGTAAGATAAAGCGTACCATGCATCAAATGAACAGTCAATATAATTGGACTTGGATAGGTTATAGAAATGTAAAAGTATACACAGCTACACATAATCCTATCAAGCCAATAATATTAGAGAATTACAAGTCTGCAATGATAATATAAGATACCTCTAGTGCTTCGTCTAATTTTTGCAGGTACTCTTCTGTAAGTGTCCCACTCTGAAAGTTCAGGGGAAACATACAAGTGACAGAATCTTAAAGAGAAATATCAGAAAACAAAATATGATTAAGGTTTAACTGATAGTTTATATATACCTTTACTTCAACTTTCTGATTTATGTAGTTTCTCGCCTCGTAATCCTGATATAGAAGGTAAAAAGGGACGGCAGCAAGGAATTGATATAAGTTGGTTTCAAGGTCATAAAATTGTGACCACTGTATCAGAATATATGCATATTTTAAAGTAAACGCAAATATTAATTAGCAGTTGACAATGGACCATCTATCTTCACAGAATTTCGATCCTTTTTCCAATAATCAGAAGAAATATACTTCCAACATCACGATGAGGCATTATTATTTAGGAAACAACAGGCATTAATGTGTTGCTGAACCCTTTTCAATAAATTTTTTAGCCAAATCATTTTATGGCTTCCTGCATACTTCATTTACAAAGCAATTGCAGCTGCAAACAGAGAAAATATCAGCATGCTTTAGCTTGAGTGCTTGACATAAATGCCTTTTTCCTATATTTGAATAGGTTTTCACCACTGGATTTCGCAAGTGTGAACAAGGTTAGTAAAGGAGGCCCCAATAACTAGTACAAATATCAAGATTGGCCCAATAAATGAAGTTATATGGAAGTTACTCTACCCCTCACAAACACATGTATGACCACACAATTTTTAACGAGAAATCATCAAATAAAAAAAAAAAGAACTAGATCTAAATGGCTTTTTGAAAATTTAGTTTTTATAATTCAAAAGCCTCATTTGACCCATGTTACTGACCCACTGTTAGCATCCAATTGCAAGATATGGGACTCAAGTCCACACAGGAAGCACAAAATTTTGGTGTGGAGTTTACAAGGCTTTGGGTTCTCCAACTACAATGGCTAAGTTTTTGTGGTACGGTCCTACCAATTTTCTTATCATGAGTTCTTGACGATATCTTTTACCTGCAATCAGGTAGTGGGGTTGGTAATGCTGATATTGCAATGTTTGTCTGGGACTAGTTAAATGGCTAGAGCACAACCAACTTGCATTGGTGTTGGAGGTGTGACTCATGGTGGGATATTAGGATCCAGTTGCAATCATGAGACTTGACTAGTGTGAGGTTTGTTGCGCCTTAGGCTCTCCAATTACAATGATTAGCTTTTTGTGATGTGATTTGCTTAAGGTTCTTATTCCCCACTCAGTAGAAAAAAGATTATATTGTTGTTTATTAAAAGCAGCACCTAGTGGATGAGACTCCAACCATGTCTGATCTGGAGAGAGACATTATTTACAAACTTATCCCAAAAAGTGGAAATAATGTTCAGTGGCTAGAACACATTATCACCAACTCACGAGACAGCAATCTTCCTGATGTACAAACACTCACTCTTTTTACCATAGGAATGTAGAAACGAAATTGCAGTATATGCTTTCATGCACTCCACAATGATATACACACAGAAAATTCATCCTTCATTCCACAAAAAGGACTTGACAATTCAACTGTACAATATAACAGGATACTGCGACATGTCAGATGCCAGCCAGCAATGCTGAGTAGATAAGACAAATGTGAAAAGAGAAACAGAGAAAATTAGTTCAAAATACTAGACAGGAAGAAAAAATATGTAAAACAAATCAAGGAATAGATTACCAAAGGATAAATTCCAGGATTGTACATATCCAAGATATAGACTCGGCCTGCCATGACAAAGTCCCTATTAGTAAAAACCCTAAAAGATAAGAAACCAAACACTAGAGTAATTTTTTTGGACATTACTATCGTAGGCAAAGTCCATTTCATGACCGTTTCCTTGATGTGCATCAAGATCAATGATCATCACCCTGAAAAATTCGCAATCAACTTTTGCACGAGCAATAACAGAATACTCTAACTTGCAATAGGATAGTACCTTGATATATTCAACTGAACAAAAGCAAAGTGGATGCAAAGAGAAATATCTGCATAAACACAGAATCCACCTCCTTTTTCTGCAGAGCAGTGATGAAAACCTCCTCCCACATTAATGGCCCATCCTCTCTCCTTTGCAAGTTTTGCAGCCAGTACAGTTCCTCCAACCTGTCATTAGATAAGGAGAAAGATCAGATTTTCCGAGTGCTAAACAGACTAAAATAGCACAGTTAACTTACCTGCTTCTTGAATGGGAAAAGAACTTTTTGTTGCACAAGGCAATTGGGAATTAATGCCACGGGAGGGACCTATATTTAGCAATTCATCTCGGTAAATAATCCATCATAATGCATCAACTATATAAAGCCTCAGCAACCACATACCAGTTATCATACAGAACTCCAGTACTAAATAACAAAAGCAAATATAACAAAGAACTCCAGCACAATCATACAGCTTTCTATTCTAAAAGACAAGATAAATTTTTAAACCAATTTTTAGACACCATATAAGATCTCCACGGTTAAAGAATAAAAAGGAACAATAAGTATCACCAATAAAAGAAATGGCTGCCTCGTGCCACAAGGGAGTGCAAAGTACCTCAACTATCATAGCAACTTTTGAACTCCCCTTCAGGCTATTCAGATACAATTCTGTGTGAACCTTTAGAGATAAAGGAAAGAAGGAAACAGAGTTAGAACTAGACATGTTGCTTAAATTACATCAGTTTCAATCATATATATTGTTTATTGCAGCTATACAAGTGATCAGAACATACATGCACAATGTCCAAAGACATGTCAAATTCAATTTAAGTCCAGACTTAGTTAAATTTCTCTATTAACACTTACAAAAAGAAGATAGAATAAGATATATTATCTCATTAACTAATATCACCTTCAATATCATATGAAATCTCTTATCCAACTTCTCCAAAAATTGACGAACAGAAGTTGATTTTAACTTACTCACTTGTAGTTAATTAAACTGAACTTATAAACTTCAACATTATAGAAACATCCTTATGTAACTTTTCCAAAAATTGAAGCACATTAGTTGATTTTGACACATGTAATTCACTTTGCTTTTCACTTTATTCTTTTTCAAGAGTTCACCAAAATGTTTATCCAAACAATGTCTTCCTAACTAAGTATGAGATAGCGCTTACCACTAGAAGATCATCCTTGGAAGCTTCGAGAGGCTCAACGATGCTTTCTTTGTCGAGAATACCAAACGAAACGAGGAATCGGCAAATGCGTCCCCACTTCGACGAATCAAACGGATGCCTGCAACAATCAGCAAACAGTTACAAACTCCTCACACTATTCATAATCAATTCAATTCAATTCAAATCACAACTTCAGAAAAAAAATGTTAATTCGAAGAAAATGCTTACAGTTTCTCTATGCCGAGAAACGATATGTCATAGGATTCGGAGTAGATTAGCGGAACCTGAATTAGTCAAAAACCGAAGGCGTAAACACTCGACGCGCCAAGAGTGCGAGTGCACGGAACTCGCTTACCTTGGACGGGGACACGTCGAAGTAGAGCTTGCTGGAGAGGATGCGCTTACGTCGGAGAGCCTCGGCGTCGTTCTCGGAATAAGACGACATCGACAGCGACGGCGGTGATCGAGAATGGAAGAGGTCTTGATTAAAATTGGCCGAGCCACCGAAATAACGAGTCAACTCAGCAACGATTTCCGAGATAAAATTTCGAGAACCGTCGAAAACTAACTCACCTTGCTAAACTCGGTTGATCAATTTCATGCATGAACCGAAAATGGACCGAAAATCGAATTGCTCAACACCCTGAACGAATGACAACTAGACTAAAACTCCAGTATGTTCAAGAGATATCATTTTTTTTTTCATTTTTATCTTATGCGGAATAAATATACTCATATACCCATCATTTATACAGTCTTTAAATATTTAAAATATTAATTAAATAATAAAAAATTTAAAAATATATCACTTAATAAATAAATTAAATGTGTCTTAATAATTTAAAATAAAGACAAGCAAGAGAAGATAGATAAATATTGAAACATGTAAGAGAAAACTATTGACACATAAATATTCATGGTATTGAACTTCCTACCCTGAACTGTCTTTATGTCGTACCCATATGTCAAACGTTCTTAGGTCGATCACTAGGCCAACAATCCTGGCCGATCAACCACCAGGCCGACTGTATGGTTGGATTATAAACAGTAATAATTCATTAAAGTCCCTAATGAAGATTAAGGCGTGATTGGGCCGTCATTAGGTCGGTGAAAGGTAAAAGCCCATTATAATCAGTATAAATAAGAGTTTTAGGTATGATTTCTGGGCAGACTGCACACACTGCACATTATGCACTACTTGCATCACTTATTATAATCGTTCGGTCGCTTTACTGACTTGAACGTTGGAGCACCTTTAACAGGTACGCCCCCACCTGGCTTGGAGGAGGAGGGAGAGCGAGTTACATCCGATCAGTCTTCAATGTTCGTCCAGCTCTCAAGGGTCGCCCGCTTGGAGCAGAGCCCGCCCGATCTTCATCCTGCAGCGCGTTGAACAGGATTCGTCCGTTCGGTCTCTAGTATCCACTAGGTTTTCAATACAATTAGGAGTATTTTAGTAAGGTCACACCAAACCCGACCAAAACATTTTGGCGCCCACCGTGGGGCCGAGCTGGTATTCCCCATTGTAGCCATAAGAAACTAGTGAGTGGTGCCTCGAAAGAACGTCAACTCAATCTTTCGGCCTCTCACGCTTGGCCTCGACTACCCGACAACTTGGCCTTGTCTACTCGGCAACTTGGCCTCGTTCGCACGGTCCTTCGGTCTCCACTTTCCGACCGTTCAGTCTCCAAGGTAATTCCTCGAACCTAGCCTCGCAGGTACATAGCCAAATTTGGCATCAACCGTTCGACCATTCATCGGCCTCAACTTCTCGACCTTCAAAGGCCTCAAACTCCCCGAGACCATCCCTTGGTCTCGACCATTCGGCCACTCCTTAGCCTCAGCAACTCGGCCTCCAAAGATCTCAACCGTTCGGCCTTAATGATCAGGTACTTTCTCAAACCAAACCTCGCAGGTACATAGCCAAAATTGGGGTCCACGTCAAATGATTCGGCCGTGCGGCCTCAAGTACGTCCGCCATCCGGCCTCACCTATTTGGCCTCATAAGCCCAAGTTGATGAACGACGAGTTCTTTAATGAATAACTGTCAGCTTGGCCGGGCAGTAAACGACAAGTTCTTTGTTGAACCACTGTTGCCCGACTCCAAACAAAGCCCAAGTTGATGAACGACGAGTTCTTTAATGAATCATTGTCAGCTTGGCCGGGCAGTGAACGACGAGTTCTTTGTTGAACCACTGCTGCACGACTCCAAACAAAGCCCAAGTTGATGAACAACGAGTTCTTTGTTGAACCACTGCTGCCCGACTCTAGACAAAGACCAAGTTGATGAACGAGACACCCTGTCAACTTGGTCGGGCGGAGAATGGGACACCCTGTCGTCCGGAGCATTTCAAAGGTTAATCACTCGACCTCCAAAGGCCTCAACCGTTAGACTTTGCACAAACCTCCACTTCTCGGCCTCCACGGCTTGAACAATTCGGCCTAACACTGGCCACATCTTATCGGCCTCTCGTGGCCTTAACCGTTCGACCTTTAAAAGGCCTCAACATCTCGGCCTCCAAAGGCCTCAACCGTTCGACTTTCAAAAGGACTGAACATATCGGCCTCCACAGGCCTCAATCGTTCGGCCTTCAAAAGGCCTCAACATCACGACCTACAAAGGCCTCAACCGTTTGGCCTTCAAAAGGCCTCAACATCTCGGCCTCCAAAGGCCTTAACCGTTCGGCCTTCAAAAGGTCTCAACCTCTCGGCCTCCCGTGGCCTCAACCTCTCGGCCTTCAAAAGGCCTCAACATCTCGGCCTCAACCGCTCGGCCTTCAAAAGGCCTCAACATCTAGGCCTCCCGTGGCCTCAACTGTTCGGCCTTCAAAAGGCCTCAACCGTTCGGCCTTTCAAAGGCCTCAACCGTTCGGTCTTTCAAAGGCCTCAACTGTTCGGCCTTTGAAAGGTCTCACCCTCTCGACCTCCCATGGTCTCAACCGTTCGGCCCTCAAAAGGCCTCAACATCTCGGCTTCAAAAGGCTTCAATCGTTCGGCCTTCAAAAGGCCTCAATATCTCGGTCTCCAAAGGCCTCAACCGTTCGGCCTTCAAAAGGTCTCAACCTCTCGACCTTTCGTGACCTTAACCTCTCAGCTTCCCGTGGCCTCAACCTCTCGGCCTCCTGTGGTCTCAACCGTTCGACTTCAAAAGGCCTCAACATCTCGGCCTCCTGTGGCCTCAACCGTTCGGCCTTCAAAAGGCCTTAACATCTCGAGCTCCAAAGGCCTCAACCATTCGACCTTCAAAAGGTCTCAACCTCTCGGCCTCCCGTGGCCTCAACCTCTCGGCCTCCCGTGGTCTCAACCTCTCGGCCTCCCGTGGTCTCAACCGTTCGGCCTTCCAAAGGCCTCAACCGTTCGGCCTTCCAAAGGCCTCAACCGTTCGGCCTTCCAAAGGCCTCAACCGTTCGGCCTTCCAAAGGCCTCAACCGTTCGGCCTTCCAAAGGCCTCAACCGTTCGGCCTTCCAAAGGCCTCAACCGTTCGGCCTTCAAAAGGTCTCAACCTCTCGGCCTCTCGTGGTCTCAACCGTTCGGCCTTCAAAAGGCCTCAACCGTTCGACCTTCAAAAGGCCTCCACATCTCGGCCTCCAAAGGCCTTAACCATTCGGCCTTCAAAAGGTCTCAACCTCTCGACCTCCCGTGGCCTCAACCTCTCGGCCTTCAAAAGGCCTCAACATCTCGGCCTCAACCGTTCGACCTTCAAAAGGCCTCAACATCTCGGCCTTCCGTGACCTCAACCGTTCGGCCTTCAAAAGGTCTCAACCTCTCGGCCTCCCGTGGTCTCAATCGTTCAGCCTTCAAAAAGTCTCAACATCTCGGTCTCCAAAGGCCTCAACCGTTCGGCCTTCAAAAGGTCTCAACCTCTCGACCTCCCGTGGCCTCAACCTCTCGGCCTCCCGTGGCCTCAACCTCTCGGCCTCCCGTGGTCTTAATCGTTCGGCCTTCAAAAAGCCTCAACATCTTGGTCTCCGAAGGCCTCAACCGTTCGGCCTTCAAAAGGTCTCAACCTGTCGGCCTCCCGTGGCCTCAATCTCTTGGCCTCCCGTGGTCTCAACTGTTCGGCCTTCAAAAGGCTTCAACATCTCGGCCTCAAAAGGCCTCAACCGTTCGACTTCAAAAGGCCTCAACATCTCGGCCTCGAAAGGCCTCAACCGTTCGGCCTTCAAAAGGCCTCAACATCTTGGTCTCCAAAGGCCTCAATCGTTCGGCCTTCAAAAGGTCTCAACCTCTCGGCCTCCCGTGGCCTCAACCTCTCGGCCTCCCGTGGCCTCAACTGTTCGGCCTTCAAAAGGCCTCAACATCTCGGCCTCTCGTGGCCTCAACCGTTCGGCTTTCAAAAGGTCTCAACCTCTCGGCCTCCCGTGGCCTCAACCTTTCAGCCACTGCTTGGCCTCAACTTGGCCTTCCTATGGCCTCACCAGCTTGGCCATTAAAGGCCTTAACTCGGCCTCTAAAAGGCTTCAACATCTCGGCCTCCTAGGCCTCAACATTTCAACCGTTCGCCCCCTCAGCCTCAACTTATCGACCTCGAAAGGCCTCAACTTCTTGGCCTCCAAAGGCCTCAACCTCTCGGCCTCCAAAGGACTCAATCGTTCGGCCATTTCTTGGCCTCTAAAGGCCTCAAATCTTCCTCTCGGCCGTCCATGGCCTTACTTTTACTTAGCCACTGTTAATACCCAATTTCATCCGGGTAGTTAAAAAATATCTAGAGTTAAGAAGGGGTAATAAAATAAAATAAATGGACAAAGATAAATTTGATACGAAGTCTCAAAAAAATGATTTTGTTCCGTTTTCCTTTTTTTTATTACTTTTATCCTCTGTTTTTATTTTGTTTCGTTTTTATTTATTTTCTCTCCTATTTATATTTTATTTTGTTTTATTTTATTTTGTTTTATTTTATTTTGTTTTATTTTATTTTTATTTTTACTTCATTTTATTTGGTTTTATTTTATTTTGTTTTATTTTATCTTAATTCTTTGTTGTTCTACTTTACGTTATTATTTTAATTCTATCTTTTATTTTGCTTTATTATATTATATTTTATTATACTATATAATTATTTTATTTCGTTTTATGTTATTATTCTTGTTTTAGTTTCTTTATATTAGTTTATTTTATTGTATTTTATTTAGTCTCTTTTAAAAAAAAG